AATTGAAGCTCCTTAATACTAGTAGGGGTTAGCTATTTAGTAATAGTCTTAATCCGATTAGGATTAGCCTTAACACCCTCGGTTAAAATAAGGAAGCTAAGGAATAACACCTCTTTAGCAGTAAAGGTGCATTTGGAAGGTTTGCAATATAGTCTATAGGCTCGTAGGCGGTCGAGGACCTTGCGTACTACGGCCTAGTATTCTACAATATCGGGTGAATGTATATAAACTAGGATGTTATCTAGGTAAACCATATAGAGATAGTCTAATAGGCCCGAAAGGGCCCGATTAATATAGGACTAGAATGTTATAGGGGCGTTTGCTAGCCTAAATAGCATAACTAGATACTCGAAATAGCTATAGCGGGTACGGAAGGCTGTTTTCTATTTATTACCCTTACAGATGCGGATGCGATAATATGCATCCTTAATGTCTAATATAGTATAGTAGTAAGCACTAGAAAGGCGATCGAGGGTCTTATTAATAAGAGGAAGTAGATAGCGGTCTTTAATAGTAATAGCGTTAAGCCTACGATAATTAATATATAGGCGTAGGCCACTATCCTTCTTTAGTACGAATAGGATAGGGGCGCTAGTAGGGCTATTACTATACCGAATGCGACTATTAGCTAGGTTTTCCTTTAGGTACTTACGCAATATAGCAAGCTCTCGTTTACTAAGGTTGTAGAGGGGGCTAAAAGGGACCTCCTTACCCTCTATAATATTAATCTTATAATCTGTCTCTTTAAATATAGGCAATGTCGATGCTAAGTGGTGTTCAAACACATTAATATAGGTTTCTCGAATAGGCTCCGGTATGCGAGCAAGCTAATTAGGGTCTATGCTATTAGGGGGCATAGGCTTATCGTTATCGCCTAATAGGTCGACTATTAGGTTAGCTACGGCAGGTATTAGGTTGCCGATAAATAGGACCCTAATATCGTTAGGGCACTCGCTAACATCGATGTGTTTAATATCCTCTTTTCTAGCGATTCTAAATCGCTACTGTTAACTGCCTAAGTCTATAACTATAGCATAGTACTTGAGAACAGGGTTGCTAATAACAATCTTAGATAGGAGGCTGTCTATATCTACCGCGTAGGCAGTGAAGTTTAGTAGGCGCTTATTGCCGAGGTCGTCTCTTAGGGCTATATAGATATAGTAGGCTCCGTAGGTTAAGTGCCGAGCGTTATTAAACTAAGCAAGGGTTGGCAGGTTAGTCCTAGGCAGTTGTCGAAGGTCTAATTGCTTAGCTAGGCGATAGCTAATAAGGGCACTAACTGAATTTCCTAGATCTAGTATAACCTTAGTCTTATAGTTAGTCCTATGCGTATCCGATACGAGACAGGTACGTATAATAGCTAGCATAATGTCGATAGTCTTACGCCGTACGAGGCTAACAGTTAGTGCGGCGCTTACTCTTTTTTCGACTAGTTAGAAGGTTGGCCTATAGGGGTAGCGTTAGCTACTAAGAGATGCTTTCGGTGCTTAGCGGTAGTACGGTCGACTCGGGCCTAATCCCTAGGTTTGTCGTATTAGCCTAGCAGATAGCTAGTACTGTCGCAATTAAAGCACTTCAATCTAGTTAGTAGACTACCGTAGCTGTTGTTATTAGTTAAGCGGTTAGCGTTATAAGGATACGAGCCCCTTCTACGGCCCCTATCGCGGCCTCCTCTATATAGCCGGCGGCTACGGCCTCTTCTACGGTTATTATTACTATTCCTATTGTTAGCATTGTTATTATAGTAGGAACCTTAGTTTCCTCCGCGGCTACTACGATTGCCGCGGTTAGTACTAGCTAGTCGGATCCTCGATTCTAGTCGTTATTAGAGCTAAACAGCCCGTTTGGCTATTTCTACTTCGACTATAAATTGAATGCGTGTTAGGTTAGCCTGTTCGAATACACGACGGCGGTCTAATTCAAGGACTAATTCCTATCGCAATTTAGGGCGTATTTCGGAAATCTAGATAGAGTCGGTCTTAGCTAGCAAATCGTCCTTAAGGGTCTTTAAATAGGCCTTAAATAAGCGAGCCGATTGATTAGTCTTTTGTTTAGCTCGAAGGTATTAGTCCTAAGCGTGTTGTTGCCTTAGTATAGGGTTTCTAAGGGTGTCTAGTATAATAGTCTTATAGTCTTGCTACTAAATAGCGGTCTGATTAGTAAGGGAGTCGAAATAGTTATCCTAGGTACGTTTTAGGTCTCTATTAATGTATTGCATAGCATAGACGACTAGCGAATAGTCGTCTAGCAGGGCCCTTAGTGCATTCCGCTAGTTCAATTCACAATTACGTATATAATCATTATACTGCTTGCGGCTAGAGCCATCAAATACGGTACAGTCTTTAAGCTTAGCATCCTTCTTTTAAATAGAAGGTACTGCTACTAGTTCTAGTCTAGTAGTAGTTGTTAGGGCTTCCTATAGGCGGCGAATCTCGAGGAGATTATCCTTTAGCTATTATTCTTAACGTAGGGCAGTAAGCCTGTTCTAAGTAGCTTCTTAAAGTCTCGCTACTAGTTGAGGGCTAAAGGCTAGCTAGCTATATCGTCGATTGATAATGTTGTTAAGAATATCGTTAACAGGCAATTCTAGATTATTACCTAGAATTGCAGGTTCTTCTTCGGTAGGCTCTCCGGTAGGCTCTTTAGTAGGAGGCACCTTAGTAGGCACTTTAGCGGGAACCGTGCTACTAGCGTTGTTATTGCTAGCGCTGCTAGCGGCGGCACGGTTGTTGTTTCGTAATAAGCCGGCTATTATAATAGGGGGTAACACTAATAATGTATTATTAGCCCCTAAGATGCGGATATAGCGGAATTAGTAGATATTAGTCTAGTACGATTGACTTAGTATAATAGGCCGTATAGAAGGCCTTGCTTAATAATTAGTACGGTTGTTTCGATAGAATAGTACGTATAGGTCCCGTTCTTCGGGCGTAATATAGTTAGATTAGTCTTATTCGTAGCTATACCGCTAAAAGCTTAAAATAAGGACTATCTAGCTACTGCCCTTAAAGGGTAGATCGAATACTATATAAGAAGGGTTATATTAGCAGGTAGATAGGGTAATAGTAAATCCGTTTAGTATTCGATAAGGATCTAGGAGGAGAGGGAGGAAGGCAGGAGAGTTAGCCTAACGCTAAGCGCTAAGCCCTACCTAAGGCATCGAGACCCTAGCTTTACTCGGCCTAGTTACATGCCAATTACGTGTAGCCTCTTTAGCCCTAACATACAATCTACTACTCTATCTACTCTCTCTACCTTAGTTAACTACTTAGTGCGTACTCTCTTTATATTTTCGCCCTTTTTACGCCCTATACCGAGTTTTCTATACTCTTCGTATACTAGAAAGAAAGAACACGAGGAATACGCGCCTTAGAATAAGGTAGACGCGCTTACTAAGGATTATATAAGAAAACGGCGGTAGTAAGGTCTATAGCTACTATATACTTAGATAAGGCTATATATATAATATTTAGACTCGCAGTTCCTTACTATACCTACTTAGACATCCGAATAGGACTAGAATATACGATTATATCGAGATTTACGTATAGCCTACTAAGAAAGTGCGATTTTATATATAGTTAAAATCCCCGCGACCGTAGGGTAAAGTATAACTAACGAAACCCTAGATAATAGTATAATAATTAGCATATTATTGTTATTTAGCCTTAGAAAGTGAAATTCGTCTGTTTATATAGTAGCCTATATATTAGCAACTCGCGCTAATTAGCTCGACTTACTTTTACCCTAGTCTTACCCCTTACCTCGAGTTACTAGTAACTCCTCTAATAAATTTAGTTAAAATATACTTTAAATTTAAAAGGTTTTTAGGAATATAGTAATTTCTACTAAGGTCGCTAGCGATAACTTAATAAAGCTATAGTTAACGTATAGTATAGCCGTTACGCTAAATTCGAGGTATATCTACTTACTCTTACCTTATTAGCTATAACTACCTTAACTATTATCGCTACTACTACTACTACTACTATAGTATAGATTACTACTAAAGGTCCTACTATTAAATAGCCGCCGCTATTCTTCTAGTAAGTATCGCTAGTCGTTAATAAACACCCCTACCTACTAACTACTAAGTTATAATATATCTATTAGCGACTATTATTATAGTATATTACTATATATATTTTAATAGGTTTAATAGCTATAGTATCGATATATTAGCGGCTACTATAGAGTAACGAAGACCGCTCGGTATAGTAGGTATATATAGAAGGCGCTATTAGCAAAGGACCTAGCGTATTACGTCTATTAAACTACTATTAGCCCCTATCTCTATATAGGGTATTATTATAGATAACTTCTTAGTAGAATTCCGGATATATTAATTACTATATAGTTTCTAGATTAAATTCTACTTATTAGTATCTATTTTAATATCTTCTATAAGTTTAAATACTCGTTATCGAAGCCGCTAAAGGGTAGCGACGTCGTTAGGCGTAGATAGGTCTATTATATAATATAGAGGTTATTAGAAGAGATTATATAGAAAATTTAGGCTAAGCAGAGGATGTAGGTTTGCTATAATCACGATCTGTATAAGGTTTAGCGGGGCTTAGTAGGGCTGGCGTTGCTAGCAACTCCGGCTGCCCCGTGCCACCCCTGCAGTTGCTAATATATAGCTAATTGTCTGCACTACCGCTGCACACGAGCCGCACGCCACGCCATGAAAGCAGTGCGACGGGGGCTTTGAGCGGCCTCCAACGGCTGTCAGAGTAAGGAAGTCTTAGTTTTTCTCGCACTTCTTGAAACGCGGCACAACGATCAGCCATGGAGGTCGGCTACATTGCAATTTGACATCCGTGCTTGTGTGTTGGAACGTTGAATGGGACAGAGAACGGAGAACTGAAGGTGAGAAGGTCGTCGTGCCTCCTTGCAGTCCCATCGACATGAGATGCACGCTACTGTCGCACGCGCACGCGCTTGCTGGCGTCCTTGCTGTTGTTACATTTATTATTAGTCTGCACAAGGCTGCGTCTGCCTCACAGCTCGTCGCGACGGCCCTCGAATTTCGAAAGCACACTCTGCACATCGCCCTGGTTCTTGGGCGGCAACACGTTGCCCTCTTTGAGCGACTTGAACGCCAGATCGAATCGCGCGCCGAAAAACCAAGCCGCTCCAATCTGAAAGCTCCTGTCAGCACATCAAAAGCCCATGGACGTGACATCCCGTGAAAGACTCACCATGCACAATGAAATGAACCCCAGAGTGGCCACAATGGCAAGGACAAGATACATCACATCTTTCTTTGCTTCGGCCTCCTCCTGCTTCCGTCTAGCCTCCTCTGCCGAGTCGACTGGCACTGGCCGTGCCTCGCCAGGTGTCGCGCCAGGCGGCAGCGTCCTCGGTGTTTGGCTTGGGAAAATGGTCTCAATGAACCGTTCAATTTTGCCGCACGCGACACTGATGTCGAGGAAGTGAGGATCGCTAGGCTTGTTCTTCCTATGGATCTTCCTCGCATACGTCCTGAAGACGTCGCATACGAGCTGCAGGTTCTGCGTGGACTTCATCATGAGATCACACGCTTGGCCCTTTGTGATTTTAATGTTACGGTTGAACATGTCGTAGTTCTGGAAACAAAGCTCGAGCGTTGCAATAGCCATGGTCTGTGGGATGGCCACGAAGTTGAACACCGACTGCTCCTTGACACCCGCCATGTAAAACAAGCACTCGTCCGCTCTATTCAGCGCGATGAGCACCATCTCGCTGCTGCATTGAAGCGCTTTCTCCTTGTTTTCGGGCAAGAATAGATCGCTGAATGTGTCGACGTACTTCGACCAGACTTCCTTGGGCCAGAAGTACCGCTTGTCCTCATGATCTTCGCGAATGTCTCGAATGATGTTTGTTTGTTGCAGGAACTGGCCCATGCTCTCCATCAGCTCTGGTCTTTGAAGCAAAGCGGGATTGGCGAGCTTGGCTTCCACGAAGAGTCGCGTAAGACCCTCGCCAACAAGGCCGGCAACGTAATGGCAGTACAGCTCGTAGTCCTTGATCGTCTTGACGCCATTCGCGTTGTGGTTGGCATTTTTGGCGTAGTCGGCCATGCCATTGCCCATACGCTTTGTGATGTCCCGAATGATGACCTTGTACTCCTCCTTGATCTTGTTGAACTCCCTGCTCACGCAGTTGAATTTGACGAGCAACTCCCTATCCTTCTCATCTGGACCGTTGCCATTGTACGTCCAGCTCTCATCATCGATGTAATGGTCGAACTCGCGCAGGAGAGGCTCTTTCTCGCCAATGTCGATGGTCATGTCATCCTCGATGGTGTCGAGCGCTCGCAGAATGAGGTAGAAGAGCGCAACAGGGACCAGGAGCTCAGGATGGAGTTCCTGGATGACGGAAGCAAAGGACCGCGAGGTCAGGTTGAGTTGGCGGAAGCATTCTTTCAGTTCTGCCGATTCCTTGCTCTCGTCGCGTTCGTGAACGGGATTGTGCCATGTCTTCCACTGGATGATGGCGCGTAGTTCGGACGGGTGGAAGAGGTAGTATGCGACGCTGCTGACAGACGGCATTTTGGCGGAGGAAAAGAAGAAGGTTTTGGTTGGCGGCCAGCACAGCGCAGGCTTGACACGCTCCAGGAGAAAATGCAATCGAATTTACTGCGACATGCGCCCAGGGTGAAGCGGCGGATCGTTCGCTAGCAATTCATTGGACGAGTCGTGCGTGAGTCGTGAGGACTCTGCAGTGTGAGTGGGAGTGGGAATGAGGGAGGCAGGTTCAATTCAATGGGGGCAGGGCAGGGCAGGGCAGGGCCGCAATTCTCGAACCATTTTACGCCTCCCGCGACTCCTTCTCCTCCACAATCCGAACATGGGCATGAGAACGGCGACGACGAGAGATCCATCACGGCACATGGCGTACAGCCACAGCGTATATGCAGCACGTAGTTGCTTGACAGCGCGAATGTCTCGACGGCTGGAACGATGCGAAGCCGTACGATAGATAAGTGTCAAAATTGAACCTCAGCAAGACGCTGCTGTTTGTGTAGCGTAGCTCGCAATTGAGGCGCGAAATGAGAGTGGATTTCGCACGGAGCGACTGACATTATCGAGTGCACAATAGGAAATCTGAGCTACAACATCGCTCCTACCTCCGTGTTCGATCATAAGATCCAGCAACATCTCCTTCTCCTCCTTAGCATACTTCGCAAACTTCCCCTCAGCTATCCAGGGTTCCGTCACACACTTCACGCCCGCTGATCGCGGGGTTTCCAGCTATACGTAAAATCGCACTTTATTAGTAGGCCACACGTAAAACTCGATAAATGGTAGTTTCCGGTCCTATTCGGATGTCTAGTTATATACAGTATAAAACCGCGAGTCTAAATATTATATATATAACCGTGTCCGAGTAGGTAGTAGTTATAGACCTCGCTACTGCTATTTCTTTATATAATCGCTTAGTAAGCGCGTCTACCTTATTCTAAAACGCGTATTCCTCGTGCTCCCCCTATTTCTCTTATTCCTTCTATTCTACTATACGTATTATATAGAAAATTCGATATAAGGCGTAAGAAGGTCGGAAATGTAAAAAGAAGGGTACGCGCCGAGCGGTTAACTAAGACGGAGAGGGCGGAGAGGGTAGTAGACCGCGTTATTACGAAATACCGCGAGTTAGAGGCTATCTTATTAGTTAAAATTAGCCTTCGAGCGCTTTGTAAGAGTAAGAAGGCAACTAACCTATATTTATATATATACTAGCGGATTAGGGGTCGTAGATTACTACTAGATCGACCGGCAACTAATACTAAACTAGACTAGTCGTAGGAGCTAGCGCTAGCGGATTATTGTCGAGAAAGAGACGTAATAGGCATATTCTTACTAGTAGCGCTAATCGTTATAGTAGCGATAGATATACTAGCGAGTCTACTACTAGATTATATATTAAGAGATATAATCGCGCCGTTTAGAGTAGACTAGGCGGATAGGTTTCTTAAGCGCTATAGACTTAGCAAAGTTAAGTCTAAACCGATTAAGGTTTAGCGTAAGGAGGCTTACGACCCTTCTATAATAAGAGGCTAGTTTAATCGGTTTAAGGCGATATTGTTACGACTAAAGGTAAAGCCGCAGAACCTATAGAACTTCGATAAGACTAGTTTCCGAGTTAGAATTAGTAGTAACGAGTATATTATTATAATAGATACTAAGCGCCGCGCCTAGACCGAGTATAATAGCAACCGGACGTATATAACCGTCGTCGAGACTATTAATGCCTATAGTGTAGTAATAGACTATTAGTTAATTATTAAGGCGGTAATAGTTTAAGAGAGGTAGATTCCTTCGTAAGGTTAGTCTCGTAGATTGCCTTAGGCAAGAACAACGTTACTACTAGCAACGTTACCTACTAACAATAATAGGCAAAGACAACTTCTTAATTACTATTAACGAGTCTAGCTACATAACAGATAATACTGCTATATATTATATCCGCTAGTTTAAGCGCAAGATAAGGCCTAAGGATCTAAACGAATAGAGGATGCTTCTATACGACAATTACGGCTCTTACTGCTTTAAGGAATTCGCAGCCTTTGCGAAGCGATATAGGATTCAATTATAGGGCCTATAACTATACACTTCGCACTTTATATAGCCTCTAGACGTTATATTATTCTAAGTATATAAGTTAAGGTATAGATAGGCGGTTTTAGAAGCTATATACCGTAGCGTTAGCGAGTTTAGTATACCTAAGTTTATAGAGGCGCTAGCATCTATTCGGGCGAAGACATTTACTAACTATAACGTATAGTCGGCATTCCGTAAGACAGGTATATTTCTAACGAATAGGGAGGTGCCTTATAAGTACATTCGAGATTAGTATAGTGCTATAGACTAGAATTAGAACTAGCAAGTAATTAAGGGCGAATTAGTATAGGAGGAAACCTAGTATATAGAATCGCTAGTAATAGCGGAGATTACTTAGTAGGAACATATCGCCTCGGTCGAGTAAGGCTATTCCGCCGAGCCTACTATTATCGATCTAGATAGCCTATTTCGCGCTAATAATCGTTACTACCTAGAGGATCTCGAGAACATAATTGCTTAAGGTATGCCGTCGTTACCTCCTTAGCGAATCCGGACCCCTACCCCCGAATTGCTATAATAGCTTCTAAATACTACGACTAGCCCTCGTACGATTAAGGCGTCTCGTAGTACTATACAAGCTCGTAAGGACTTTCGACGCTCGCATCTAAAGCTAACTCTACTCGGTATCGACTATATATTTAACCTATTTTCCTCTTTACCTATAAAGGATATAGAGAGGGCATACGAGTTGTTAGTTAATACGGCTATTTATAAGGGCGAAGAATATAAGCGTAAATATTAGTCTATAAGCATCGTTAAACGCGCAAAGAAGCGACAGAAGGAGCAGCCTAATCGGCTTATAAGAGCAGGTACTATCGAGGCCGATAAATTGCGCTCGTAACTTACTTAATAGGATAAGGACCTAGCTAATAACGACCGCCGGAAGATGCTCTAGGAGGTAGAGAATGCTTGTAACAAAGCACGCACCTATCGACTTAAGTATAGTAAAGCCTTCCGAGTAGTATTTAATAATAATAGTAAGACTAAGTAGATAGACGTTAAGCTCTAGTCTATCGATAAGCCGCTACGACGAGTCTTTAACCTACGACTTCTCGCTACCGATAACAACCTTATATTAAAGAAGACTAGCGATCCGTACGCTAACGTTATCTACTTCTATAGGCGGTATACTAATACTACTAAGAGCGGCAATATTACTTACACTTAGTTACTAATAAGCACGTTATTACTACCGACTCGCACTTACGACTACGAAGACGATATTACGGTATAGACCGTTAAGTCGAAGCGACGACTAAATAGCCTATTCGCGTAAGAACCTAATACTCGGTTAGACTAGCTATAATAAGACGAAGCGCTGCTTAATAAAGATACTATATATACTATAATCTAGCCTTATTTAGTACCTCCTCGCCGCCGCTACGAGTCCGTATAAAGCAAGCGCTACTTCTACGAGCCTCCGAAGAAATCTAGCCGTTATAATAGCGCTATTGCTAGTAGTAAGAATAACCTAATTAAGCTAGAAGAGGTAGATAGTATAGATAGTAGATATAATAGCAATAGGCTATTTACTTAGTAAGAAGAGGTAGTAGTTATATAATAGATATATAGGCTAACTAGTAAAGTAGTTAATTATATAGTAGACTCGAGGTTTGCTAAGAGGCCGGATTGAGGTCCTATAGTCGTAATTTGGTCGCTAATATACCGGAAATCTACTGTCTCTTAACCCTTATCGCACTTATATTTAGTTTCCTATTATATATGCTCTATAACATCGCCGTTATCGACTTTTACGTATAGCTTACTAGGAAAGTGCGATTTTACGTATAGTTTAATTCCCCGAGCTAAGGCGAGGGGTAAAGTAGGCTAACGCAACCCCGGTAGACCCCGTAGTAGTTCGGTTTGCGAACTATAGAACGTATATAGTTTGGTTTCTTAGCGGTATCCCTCCGGTTTGGTTCCGGTTTGGTTTTTTACCCCGCTAGTCTAAGCCGGTTTCCGAGAATATCCGACTAAACTGCGACGACATGCGACGACATGCGACGACATGCGACGACCTCGGATCGGGTCCGGGGGCCCTATCTACACGATTGCATCTGTATTTCGGGCTGTTTGGACGTATTTTAGGTTGGGTTTTTGTCCGTAGCCGGCACGTGGCCGGCAAACCGGTCCGTGCACCGGTTCCTTAGCAAACCAAACTAAACCAAACCAGAATTTCGGCTTAGCAAACTAAACCAAACCAACCCGGACTACTGCGGGGTCTAAACCCCGGATAGACCGTCGACTAATGCTTTTAACTCGCTACTTCTACGCTTCGCAGTGTCTCTAGAACTAGTCTACTATGCGATTTTAACTAGTAGCCTTCGTATAGATAGCGACTAAGGCGAAGAAGGTCTATATATAGGATAATTATCGAGCTAATTCAAAGCTAGTACTTATATAGCTAGCTAAAGTCTTATCTAGGACGCCTATAGTAGGCCTAATCTAAAACGCGTATAGTAAGTTATATCTAAGACGCTAATAGTAATATTAATCTAGAACGCGTTATAGGTATTAGAAATATTATAAATATACCCTAACTTTTACGCTTCTTATCGATAAGGAAGCTAATATAGTCGTGTCTCTCTTAGTAACTCTTCGTAGAACTATATAATAACTTATCTACTAAACCGTCTACTCGTTCCTACCGCGATACTTTATTATACCTTATTAAGTTACTACTACGAGCGTAGAGAGCGCTACGTAAGACGCGCCGACGCGTCTACGATTTACGACTTTATAAAACTATAGTATTCGATTATTTACGACTACTACCTTTTATATAGTATTATAACTATCTAGTATTTAGAGTCTATATCTTTACAAGTTACAAGTTACGATTACGAGCGTTAGATTACGCTTTTACGAAACTGCGTTAAGCGCCGTAAAATCTTCCTAGTTATACGCCTCGCTAGCATCGTAATATAGTAACTAGAGCGCTCTAGCTACCTATATTATAGACACCTATTATTTCTATACGCCCTACTATATATTCGTAACTAACGTAATACTATCGAGCTTACTAAAACCTAACTAATTAGTAGTTAAGAACCCTTCGACCGGACCTAGCGTTAAAGTCTAGATAATCGCCCTTATAGTCGATTACTATACAATCTTACTGTTTCTTAGTACGATTACTTAGTCCCCTCGTTCCTTACTAAATCGTTTAGTATAGCACTTGTTCCTCTTCTTCCTTTTATATAATCTCGTAGATCTTCGGACTTCTAACGTATCTCTAACCTATAGCTATAGCTCGACTCTCTAGCTATAGTAAGCTCTTAAGCGTTCGTACGTCTATTCTTTCTAAAGATCTCCTTAAGTTCGGTAATACCTAGATATAAGGCCGGTACGCCGACTAGGTTTAGGATATACTAGGAGAAGGATATAGGCTTATCTAGATCGTCGAAGAAGAGAAGCAGCTAGGTAAGGAAGCCTAAGCCGTATAGTAAGTAGCTAAGGAAGGTAACCTAGGTTATATCGACTTAACTTAGTTCTTCGAGAAAATTAGCACTAATACTAAGGCTAAGAAGGATTATATCCTCCTCGAAGATAAGGATACTAAACGCGAGGACCCGGATCTAGATAATCTCGATACTATACCGGCCCTCTAGTATAAGAAATTCTAGGTTAAGGATATTAACG